TCATAAACACTGAGGGTTTACAATAAACCCAAGGTAGTAGAGGGCAGGAGGAGGACTCCTGCTTTCCAGACAGAGCTCAGGCAAGTCATGAGGGAAGCCATGTAGTTGCTTTTAACAAAGGGGGCTCAGACTCAGTGCCCAGACAAGTGCTGTCAGTCCTGATTTGCACATAGCTATCGGTAAAATCTTGTTCTGTTTGCTGTAATTAAAAAGATTGACTTACTCACTGCTTGAGAGAGATCGTGGCGCAGCTCAGTGCTCTTGGAAGTGTTTGCCAGCTCTGAGTCTCCACATTTTTATCCTGCTGGGACAATGCTATAGCTGGTGTTTGCGAGCAGCTGCTGGGGAGGTTGCTTGCCTGCCTGGAACAGACACACAGGGATCCAGAGGCTCCTATGTAGACCTTGCCTGAAGTCAGACTTTCTAGATTCTGAAAGTTTTGATATTTTGAAACTCAGATTTGGAAGCAAATCTCTTAAAATTAAAATAAAATTCAGTTTCTCATTGTTCAAGAATTTTTTTTTCCTTTTTTTTTTTCGTTTTTACCAATAGGTAACAATGGATGTGTAAATATTAACTTTATAATTGCATAGAGCAATTCAAGAATGTGTATTTTAAAACCATCCCTACTGGAGCTGCTAGAATTCATAGCTCCAGAGCAGCTTCCATACCACAGGGGTAGCCCTGGCCCAGGATGTCCCAGTTCAACTGGCTCCTCTGGATACCTACTTCCCACAGTTTATTACAGAGAAGAGCAGACCAGGATCTGGCCAGACGGGGCCTAGAGCCCCATAACACAGGTGCTGGGGTTACTCTGAAATTAGGAACTATTATCCTAGAAAATCAAGGGACAGCAAGAAGCTAATTAACACTCTCACCTCAAAATATTCCTTGCCATCCTACCCTTAGCCACTGCAAGTTGGTTATTTGCTGGAGATAAACTGTGCACTGTGGGCGACCGATGGTACCAGCACAACGAACGTACAGCTATAGAGATGAAAATAGAAACAATTGGTAGGAGACATTTTATGCAACTTTTGCAATTGCAAAGCAGAGTTTAATATCACCTTGAAGGAAAGATTATCATTTAGGCAATTCTAACCAAAACTCAGTAACGAAATACAAACTGCAGGTGCCAGCGTCTGGGATTCGTCTTGGTGAATGGCATAGATCAGCCTGGTTTCCTTTGGAAGTCATCCAGGGAACTTCTAAATCATGAATAGGCACAACAGCAGCACTGACAAACTAGTGCCTGTTGCTGTTACATTAAAAGTAACCTGCAAAAGAGCTCAGGAATTCGTTGCTATACCCCGTGGGAAAGGATTACCAGTACAAATTTTTACCAGGCCCAGAGTCCCAAAGTTTTTCTAGACATCCAAGCTTTTCCTTAGCATGAGTTAATTTTCCTGGGAATGACGTCTTTTTCCTGAGAAGAAACTCTTTTATGAACATTTAGAGGTCATCCCTCCCCACAGCACTGGAGCTAAAACAAGACGAGCCAGTGTTTCCAGAAGTACATCCACTCTGCTCAGACCAGTGCATCTTGTGCTTCTGAGGATCGGAGAAGGTCCCTGGTACCTCAGTGCTTTGTGCTTCAGGCTGGATCCGTGCTGAGCTGAGGAGAGTTTTGATGCTGTGCATCTCAAGATGTCTCAGTGCAAAGAAGGGCACAGGGCTGGGCTGCTTACAGGGGCCTGAATCCAGCTGACCAGGTCTCCTCTGACATAAATCTCCAGAAAAGCCCGGAGACACCTTTTGGTGAGGATATTACATTGGTGTGAACCTTGTACAGGAGGACAAACACCATGCTCTTCCACTTGGCCTGCAAGGCTTGTGGGATGGGGCTGTGATCCACAGCCCCCGTCATTCCCAGAAGGTGCATCCAGACAAAGGGCCCTGATGAGGGATTCACCTTTCATTCCCACAGTGTCTCCAGCTGCCAAGTATCATCTCTACAAAAAAGCTGACAAAGCATCAGAGGTCATAGGTGGAAAGAAGACCAGTGCGATTACAGCTTCTGAGATGCGATACGCTGAGCCTTGAAGAGCAATGAAGAGGGAGGACAATGAAACCCAAGAAAGACAGGGCAGCAAAGGTGGTAGCTCCACGATTACTCTGTTTGTGCGGAGTGGAAGTGGGACACGGTGGGAACCATGTGGTGCTTGTCCTGAAAAATGGATAGACTGAGCCTGTCCTTCTACTGCCATACTCAGCAGCCTTCTTCCTTTTCATTCAGGCTAAAGACCATTAATAAGATAAACCACATAAACATGAGAAGCAAAGAGCATTGGAATTGTACTTTATGGTTTGTTTTCCCCTCACAGTCCTGTTTCCTTAAGCCTTGATAAATGAATGTCTTCTTATCTGATGGTTCCATTTACCTGGCGTAATTCACCTGAACAAGGTGAATCAGGACAAAGTCCGCAGTTTGAGAGTGCATTGATCCTACCTGCAGGTCACCACCAGAGAGAGGGCTCTCCATAGAGGCCAGCTGCGAGGGAAGGTCTCTGGCACAGCAGAGGGCAGGAGACCATGGTGCCAGGTTGCCGAGGATCAGCGGCTTGCATTCTCAGCTGCCAGCTTTTTTGGGAGAAGTTCCTTCTGCTCGGCACAAAATCCAGCCCCAGACCCAGCAGGATCTTCTGTGCTGCTTGACAGGTCTCAAGCCCTCTTGCAGTGATGGCAAGTCTGTGGACACGGGGGTATGCACATGGGCTATGCTGAGCGCATTCGTAAAGGAAGGTGCTGGGATGACCAGTGATTTGGACTGGCAAACAACTGGGCAAACTGATTTAGCAGAGGCATGGGGGATGGCACAGATCTGGGACTCTGGCAGTGCTGTGGAGCAACGAGTCCATTAACTTGTCAGGTGTCTTCTTGTGTGCACACAAATTGCATGTTGGGGAAAAGGAGTTCCCCTGCTCCCTTCTGCACCACATGAAAAAAAGATTTTGCTGGTTGGACTCGAACTTCCTGC